CTTGAGGGAACTTTCAATTCTGAAGATAAGGAAGTTATCTCATATGGTGACATTTTTCATCAATTAAATGATGATAAAGAGTCACATGATAATGATAAGAAGCAGGCACGTGATAACAACCACAAACAACAATCGCTTTAGCAAGATATTGTCCCTGGGCCGATGAGAACAAGTCTAATCTAATCGAAAAGTGCGAAGACTTGCCAACCAAAGACACCAAACAAGTTTCAAATTAAATTTCATTGAACTTTAATTACTTTGCTCTTTTACTTGATATTACAGGGTAAATCTTAACTTTAATTAAAGTATCAATAAGGTTAAGATTTGTCATATAATATCAAATAAAAGAGTAAATAATTAAATTTAAATGAAATTTAATATGGAACTTGACTGACGAGTGATGTCTTTGGTTGGCAAGTTTTCGTACTTCTTTTCGATCAGACTTGTTCTCATCAGTCTAGGGACAATTTATAACTTAAGCAATTTCTTTTGCTTGCAGGTTTTGTAAGCTTTGACTATTCGGGTGGCTAGCTTCTTATCATTATCACGTGACTGCTTCTTAGCATTATCACGTGACTTTTGATCACCATGTAATTGGTGAACAATGTCACTATACGAGAGTTTAACTTCCTGATTTGCGGAATTGAAAGTTCCATCAAGCGAGTTGCTAAAGCGATTGATCAACAAACATCTAATCACATTTAAAACATGTGTTAACAAATAAATTAGCAAAAACATTTGACAAAACTAATTCAGTCACTACTAAAGACACTATTTTGCTTAAACGTTCGTAAAAAAGCGTTTAATATTAGCAATACTAAATGTTTCAAAAAAACGTTCAAACATATATACTCTATGACATATTAAATAAGCGTGAATTTTGAAGGTTTCTAACATTAATGTACATAATATGTTATTTAATTAGTGTGAATTTTGAAAGTTTTTAACATTAATGCACATAATATTTAAAAATATCATACTCGCTTTGTCCCATTTTATATGTCTCATTTGGTTTTTGCACAATATTTAATAAAGCGGTTGAAAAAAAATAAAAGTTGTGCTTAAGATTTGAATATAATAAAATGAAATTAGGTTTTTAAATAGTGGCTCGCTACCGCTATAGCGGGGGTCACGGTAGGGGCCGCTACCACTACGGCCTGCTATTCCGTTATGAATTTCAAATCACGGGAAAATCCCGCTACGCCGCCCGCTACAGCCCGCAATTGACATTTCCGGCAGTACGTCACGAACGGGTTGATGTGTAAATGTGTCTATGTTGTGTAAATGAACTCTTAATGTTATAAGTGTTCAAACAAATATTCACAATGTTTGTATTAACTTCAACACTCATTAAATATATGTTTTGCGCAATTGAAAATATTTCACGCCGTTGCAATCACTACAGTCGGCTACAGGCCGCTACCGCTGCCGCTACGGCTATTTAAAAGCTTGAATGAAATGTTGTAAACCACATATTTTTTTCGAAAATAGAAATTGGACACTTATTTTCAAAAAGGAAAGTAAGACAAATAAAATAATACGGAGGGAGTATAAAGTAACAACAGAGAAAAATCCTCAAATAGTAGTAAAATATTGTAAATTTAATCCCTTAAATAGGACTCATGAATGCACTCTTGTTTAATGAGTTCTTATTCTTTTTTTAATGACTAAGTAAGTACTCTATAATATTTTATATCCAAATATTTTGCGGTTTGATGATATCACTTTTTCCCCTTGAAATTAGGGGTAACAGGTGATCGCAAAGAAACCATGGTGTGGGGTCATGCGTGGATTCCTTGAAAAGGGGACATAAAAGTTACATCGCCGCAACCCCGGGAGTGCGGGATATAATGTGGCTGCTCTTACCAGAGATGATTGGAGTGTTTGAAATGTTGGTAAAATTAAAAAGCTTTTTAATGAGGAGGCTAAAACTATTTTGAGTATCCCCGTATAAACAGGAGGGTGCGAGATGGAATGAGTTGGGTGGGCGAACCAAGAGGGAGTTTTCTGTTCAAAGTGGTTACCGTTTGCTTGTGGGGGAGACTAGCCCGCATATGTGGGTTGGGTGGACAAAAATGTGGAATTTTCATTTAACACCAAAAATAATTTTTTCCCCCAGTTCATGAATGGTTTACTTCCTCCTAATGATAAATTAAAGAGGCGGGGTGTGGGGGTTGATCCTTTATGCAAGGTTTGTGAACAGGAACAGGAGACAAAATTGCACCTTTTCAGGCATTGTATGGTAGCTCAATTAGTGTGGCAGCATCTGGGACTTATTTTTGCGGGAAAATGGAAACTAATAATCCAACCTTTTAGCGGTCTTCTTACAATAATCCAACCTTTTGGTTATTCATGAATAATCCAACCTTTGCACCTCATCTTCATTCACTGGTCCCTGACCGGTTGATGACCTGCTGTTTCAAGCTATTTTCTTATCTTTGCAAATCATTATATCATAAATCTCATCTTTCACAAAGATAATATTTTGCAAAGATAAGAAAATAACTTGGAATAGTAGGTCATTAACCGACCAGGGACCAATGAATGAAGATGAGGTGCAAAAGTTGGATTATTCATGAATAATCAAAAGGTGGGATTATTGAAAGAAGACCGCTGAAAGGTTGGATTATTAGTTTCCATTTTCCCTAAAGTATATTAATTGCCCAAAATTAGAAGACACCAAAAAGTATTAGAACCCGTTTGGTGACACTCTTTTTCGACTTATCAGGCTTATCAACCAGCTTTTTTACCGAACACATAATTTTTTCTTTCGTGCACGGAATTATGAAATAATAAGAAAAAACAAGGTTGAAATTATTTTTTTGGCTATATTGGCTGAAGTTACTGTAAATGATCAGTTTAGCTATTTTTTAATATAAATTTTTATTTGAGTTATTAATATAAAAAAAATTTAAATGCAATCTTTTCATAAATCGGCAGAATCAGCCAATACAACCACTTTAGTCAGAACTTCATAAATTTTAGCAGAATTAGTCAGCTTGATTGTGAGCTTCTATGATGAAAGATGAATCACATATATGGTAACTAAAAGGAAAAAATCTTTAAATAGGAGTAAAATAGTTTTGAAATTCGAAAAAAGGCTGTCATGTTTTTATTCTCTAAATAAGAGTAATTGTATTGTGTTAATGAAGAGTATCTCTTATTAGAGCTGCCTAGTACAAAGAACTGCCCTTGTCATGGCAGCAATTCAGGGTGGTGGGTGGGTGTTGGTAGAGAATTACATGCATTACCTGTTAATAGAACTGCCCATGGATGCTTCGCTTAACATTTGCTAATGAAAGACACATAATCGGAGTGTACTGCCATATCTACCCTTGATGACACATTTACCTCAAGATTTACAGTAAAGTTAAAAATTCATCATTCTTAAGCTCAAATCTACATAACCAAATCAAATCACTTTGAACATAGATTTAATGAAATCCATCAAACTCCTAGGTTTTATTAATGACACACGCAAATATACAATAGATGAATGTGTGATTTGGACCAGTTCGGTTTTACATTAATGGCATACGCACATAATCCCTTTTTTAAAGTAAGGTTGACCCTGAAAAATATTCTAATAGTGAAAAATTTTATAATAGGGACAATAAATTCTGGATTCCCCAAAAATATTCTTTCAACTTTATTACTACCGATCAATTTTAACGTTTCCAAACTCGACATAATACTAACAAATATGTTATATTTATTCATTATATTCCTTCCATATTAGATCGATTAAATGTTTTCCATCAGACTCCATGTTTGATATCAATGAATAGGCTTTGTTACAAATACGATTGAGCATGTTAGAGCAGTTCGGTATTAACTTGAGTTCTAGTAATATATGTACCCTGTCTAAACTTTTGGTATTAGCGTAACAGTACTATGGTTTTAGCAATTGTATTGTGTTAATGAAGAGTATCTCTTATTAGAGCTGCCTAGTACAAAGAACTGCCCTTGTCATGGCAGCAATTCAGGGGGGTGGGTGGGTGTTGGTAGAGAATTACATGCATTACCTGTTAATAGAACTGCCCATGGATGTTTCGTTTAACATTTGCTAATGAAACACACATAATCGGAGTGTACTGCCATAGAACTGCCCAAGGATGTTTCATTTAACTTTTACCTCAATTCTAACACTTTGCACATAAAATTTATCAGCTCCTGATGCTATTCTGCATGTTGTGATTTGCAGGTTGACTGATGCCAATCCGCAAAAACTCGCCCTCAAGGATGTCTCTGTGTTTTTTTTTTTGTGTTCCTAATTTCACGAAATATGATGTAATAATTAGACTTAGGCTAGACTTAGGATGTTCCTGTTCAAGCCGCACCCAGGTATGTTCATCCATACTCATCAGTCTTTAATTTATCCCCGTTGTTGTTTGGTTACACACTTACACATATTTTTACGACAAATCTTTTCAATTGGGTTACAACCAAAAAGTTTTTGTGTGAAACCGGTTCAGCAGTTTTGGATTGGTGCACACACTATTATATAGCCCCAGTTTTTTTTTCAAGAGTTGAAATTCTCAAACAATTTACTCTTCATAGACTCTGATATACACCCCCGGTTCATTTTCAAGAGGGTTGAAATTATCAAGCAGTTTAGCATTTATAGATTCTATTAATCTATTATATACCCCCTGTAAAATTTTGCAACACCCAAAATTCTCAAATAGTTAAATCTGTTTTTAGTTTCTCAACATACATTAACTTTTGCCATAGGGACTTTTTAGTATCGTCCATGCATAGCATATGATTTACTTGGATTTGCCAACTGTCCTATACTCCTATTGACAAATATCCAAGGCCATTATGAAACACCATAATGCCTTGGACAAAATGATTTGACAATCCATGTATAAGGACACTTTCACTGCATAGTCTGGGTTTAAGAGTGATGTAAAGAGGTAAGCAGCCCACAAAATTACCCATAAATATTCTACATTAGATCGCAACCATACATTAATATTGGAGTAAAATACATAGACCCAACATAGAGTTCATACATTTATTATATATTTTACATCAGATGGCGTCCATACATTAATATGGAACACACATATTTCACCTTAGATATGCATCATACAGTAGCATAGGAGGGGGTATCTGCGTTATAAATATCACACTTTAGGTAGTGTGTTAATAGCTAACAAAATACAAAAAAAGGGTAACATTGGAGACGTTGACCACATGTATCGCATCATATCTTTTCTTGATAACATTCTCCACCCTGCAGGTTTTATTTAAGGTCTTCCCCAAAACACTTATTAATATCCAACGCAAACCCCAAACTTATTACTAATCCTTAGGATAACATTACTTTTCAGATCCCTCGATCTTGATTCCCTTCATCTTTTTGGGTGGCACGTTTTTAGTTGTCTCGGTTGACGATGATTCCCCGAACAGATTCCTCTTGATCCTCTCGGTATCAACTTCCAGGGCACTTCTCTGCTCCTTGTCCAGTAATGGACTGTTCGAATTTACCTGCTCTGAAGACACAACCTGGAATGGAGACGTAGGTCGTCACTTGACAGCACCTTAAAATTGATGCCAACATATAAAAAGGAAAAGTGCGTTTATCCTTTCTCCACCACCAAACTCCCTCTTCAACAGAGAAAAATCCTCCTCCTCCTGTTTAAGCAAACAAACACATTAACATACACAATTCATTTAGGATAAATGCCACAAATACTTGGAACGCTAGAGTGAAGTTTAGACATGGAACCTCTGTTGATGTGGTCTCCGTCACATAGAGTGAGATAACTCTAGGGTCAGTATTCATTCTAAGAACGCTGTAGGTCTGATTACCCTTGAAATTTCTGCTGTCACGTTTATATTGAATGCGGAACAGGGCCTTGATGTCCATCAAGGCATTGATCTCGGAAGGGAAATAATTGGGTCCAAAATTCCTCTACACAAAAAATGAGAAGTTCTTAATGTGTCCAGAAAGGTAATGAGAAAACTTGGCAAAAAGTTTTAACAAAATAACAATTTGACCTTATTTACTTGTTCTTTCAATGACGTAGCAGATCGCCCAATCAAGCACGACACCTCTCTGTCCCAGAGCAGAAAGGACGCGTGCGAAGTTGTATCGACCACTCGAATGTTGACCTTGTACCTACACCACTAATATTATTTGGATCCAATAAAATTAAGTAACGAAGAGGTTTTTATGAAACAACACCTCAAAACAGCGTCTGAGGAATTGCAAGAGAGGCATTGAAACCCGTCACCATTGGGAGTCACTTTACGGTTACAACCAATGCACGAAACATAAGACCACTCTTTGTGGTTATCAATGCCAGCAATCTCTCCATATATCCAGTGCTTTCCATCCTTATTAAACCATATATACGAAGTCAGTTAAAGCCTGGTTAAAAACCTTAGATTCCTAAAGCCTTTATTAATGGCAAGGACCTAACCTCTTCCATCTTAGTGAGTTGCTCAATAGTTACCAACTGAATCTGACCCGAACTAATGTCAGCGTCATTTGAGGTATCAGATGCAATTGTGAAGCTCAAACCTTCCCCACACCTGGAAGCCATTTTTGTCTTAAAATCGTTGAACTCATCCTCCACACCGTTAAGAATAACCTTGGTTGTATTAAACATGTTGGATACATGCACTTGCCCTGATTTTATTTAAACAAAAAACATTAGCAACCATATTTACTTGTGAAACAGCATGTAAATATTAAGGAAACAAATACCTTGGTATTTTTTAGCCCGGCAGCATTGAAGCAACATGACTATGGGTTCGCCCGTAGTTAGTTTGTACGACAACAACATATCAACCATAGGACCCCAAAGAGTGCATCCAATGACATTGCCCCTTTTAAAATAGCATTATAAGTATTAGAGAAATTGTACTGGTGAAACTGTATGTGAAAAAACTATATTTACAAAGTTACTAACTCTGTATCTCCAAGGATTAGCTCAACCAATTTTTTAGGGCGATCGTTTTTTAGAATTGTCTTGGGATCCTTGTCATGAACGACTTGTCCAATGATATCTGCTATATGACAAATATAAGTATATTACACGATGGACATAACACGGCATTGATTAGGAACACACAATAACGTATTTACAAACTGACCAATCGCTGCCCTGTCGTCGATAGTGTCTTGCGCTTGCAATGCAGCGAAGGACACCAACGAAAATGTCCTCAAGGGAAACGGAACCTTGATTTCAAATGCCTCACTCTTTTTGAAGAAGCGTAGCCTATAAGCGCTTGTAGTGGTTTTGAAAAACATGAAATTTTCTTCTACCATAAAATTTTTTATAGCATACACACGGCCTTCCCTGAACAGCCCAAAAAATTTTGCAATGAATTGATCAGGGATGTGACTGTGAATCTTAGAACCCTGAAAAATAAATAAAATATTATGATGAAAATAGCGACATGGCATCTTGAATAAAAATGAAAGGTATTTACAACACCTCTTCATCATGGAATATGACTTCCATAGAAGGGGGAAAACCATCATGTGCTGGTTCTCGGTAAACCCTTGTAGCCCGGGCCTTTATGGCCCATGTTGTTTTTGTTTGATCGAGCTGCCTAATCATAGACCACATCCCTACCATTTTTTTCAAATGACTCACCAAGCACAAAGATGTTTTTTGTGATGTTGTGGATGAGGATTGTGCTTGGACCCCTCCTATTTATATAGGTTGTTGAGCCCACAAACATTTAATCAAGTAACTATTCCACCACCCAATGTGATATGGTGTTGTACGTCCAGATCTTGCCAACCAAGTTCAACCAATAGGATTATTTTGCCCAAATTAATTGACACGAATATTGGCTGTGGAGCCGGAAACATTAAATCAACAAACTATTCCACCACCCTTCCAACCAATGAGAATAAAGAAAAATAAAAAATGTGATATTGTGTTGTACTTTTAGATCTTGCCAACCAAGTTCAACCAATAGGATTATTTTGCCCAAATTAATTCTCACCAATTTTGGCTGTGGAGCCCATAAACATTACATCAGATGACTATTCCACCACCCTTCCAACCAATGAAAATCAAGGAAAATCAAACACATAAAGTGATAAATTGATTTGGTAATTGTTTTTGATGTTGTAATGACAAAAGCATGATGTTGACACAAATGGGAGGGAACACTATTCACATAAAAACCTTCTCTTTAGATATTAATAGATAGATTGTTTGTTCTCAATTCTTTTTCGTTTTGGTTTAATTGTGTTTCTTCTTTCTTTTTTTGTTTCTTCCATTAGCAACTTTTTTTCTTTAATTTTGTATTCCATTATTATGGAAATTTAAAATATAAAATATTATTAAATGTCCCAGTCTATTTGTTTCTTTTTTCAATCAAATTTCTTACTTAAGGTTTTTTAATTTATTTATTGTGAAATATTTTAGGTTTTAATATTTTATTTTTAATTTAAGATGAAAATTTATTAGTTTATTAAATATTGTTGTCTAACGTGGATTTTCTATCATATGGAGCATTGAAATGAGTATAGTGAAATAAATATGCACGAGTAAATATTATATAAATAACACTGTTATATTTGTAATTCGCAAACGGAAGACTATAATTTTTTTAATATAAAATTACTATATTTGTCATTACTATATTTGTTACTATATGTGCAAAAATGAACATTTCAACACATTAGAGAATTCAAACGATCTTTTTGATCTCCCGATGCTCGTTTTATAAGTTTTGTATGTTCATCTAGTACTGGTTGTATTCTCATTTTAAAATGTCATGTTAATGCATATTTCAAAAGTATCATATTAGATTCGAATAAGAGTTAGATTGTGTACATGGTACCGCAAATCATGATACTCAATTGCATGCTTCTGATACTCAATAACGGAGGTTTGATATACAATGAAAATATCGTGATGGTCAACTAACAAAGCTTATTATTTTCATATCATTACTCATTTGGTAAGTAATGTATGCTCATTTTGTACTGATGATGCTAGCTCATTTTTAAAATATTATATAAATGCTTATTTTAAAAGAACCATATTAAATTACATTCACGAGACATAGGAGCACAGACCATGCATGATACTCAATTGCATGTTTTGAATACTCAATAGAGAAGTTTTGATGCTCAATAAATATGTCTTGAATTTCGACTAAAAAACTTATGATTTTCATATCAATGCTCATTTTTAAGTAACTTAAACTCAATTGGTGCTCATGTTATGCTCATTTTTAAAATGTCATATCAATGCATATTTCAAAGGTGCATATTACATTAGATTCGCATATTGAAGTTCAAATGAGTTGATTATAGATAATATTTAGCAAGTTCTTAAAAAGGGAAAATAAGAAATTAAAAGAAAGTGAATTTGAATATATAAAGCAGATCACCACACTCATTGTTAGGCTTCCAATGCTCAACAAAACATGTCTGATGCTCACTAAATTGCATAATCCTTATACTCAATAGAGGGAGTTTTGATATTCAACTAACAAAACTTACAATTTTCAAAGTACTGCTCATTTGTACGTTATGTATGCTCATTTGGTACTGATGTGCTCATTTTTAAAATGTCATAACGATGCACATTTTAAAAGTATCATATTACATTAGATTCACATATTGAAATTCATAGGAACGGATTATAGATATAATTTAATGAGATTTTTTCAAAGAAAAAATAAGAAAAAGAAAGTGAATTACAATATATGAAGTTGATATCACAAATACTCATTATTCGACTCTTAGTGCTCAGTAGAATACATATGATGCTCATTGAAAGTGTATTAGTGCTCATCTGACGAAAACCACGATTTTCACTGAAATTACGAAAATGCCACCATTTTTTAATTTTGCTATCAACTTTCTTGTAATAACATGGTACTCATTATTAGATGCTTAATACTCATTAAAATTGGACTATTTCTCATTAACAGTACACTGATGCTCATTTAGTAGAAACCGTGTTTTTTACATTAATTACAAAAACGCCACCGAATTGTTTTGCTATTTTTCCCTTGGACCTGTTCCTGAGCCGGCTATACGGTGCTCACCGTACAGCTGGATGTACCATATATGTACTCCCAGATGACTATCCTCGGGTCATAGGATGTTTAACATATGTCATGATTGGCACACGACCTGACATAACTCAGGATGTGAATAAGCTAAGCCGGTTTTCAAGAAACCCCGGTAGAGAACACTGGAAAGCGCTTACAAGACTGCTTGGATATTTTATGTATGTACACCAAAGACTATGGTTTACATTTTCAAAAGTATCCAGCTGTGCTAGAGGGATATATCGATGCAAATTAGATATCTGGTTCCAAGGGCACAAAATCAACGAGTGGATATGTGTTTACCCTTGGAAGTGGTGCTGTGTCGTGGATATCTTCCAAACAAACATTTATTGCAAGATCTACCGTGGAAGCTGAATTTATTGCCTTAGATAAGGTTGTAGAAGAAGCTGAATGGTAAAGAGAGTTTTTTTAGAAGATTTTCCTTGTTGGAAAAAGCATGTCCCTCCAATATCCATTCATTGTGATAGTCAAGCTCCAATTGGAAGGGCAAGGAATGCAGTTTTTAACAGTAAGTCTAGACACATCCGTCGTAGACATAATACTATGAGAAAACTAATTAAAAATGGGATCATCTCTCTTGACTATGTTAAGTCGAAAGAAAATACTGCTGATCCGCTAACCAAACCTCTTCCGAGAGAGTTGGTCGAGACGTCAAGGAGAGCGATGGGCCTACGACCAATGATCCAATAAAAATTCATGGGGAAACCCTATCTATTATTGAGAGTGCCGCATAATTAGGTTCAAAGGAAAAACACAAGTGTGGACTGGCTCGGGCGGTACTAGCCAAGATATACTACACTCATGCCATGAACACTTAGGGTAAGTTACGCTTTTATTGATTTTTATATCTTGATACATTCAAGTAAGGTATGGCATGATACCTTCCATAGAGATCACCTATGCTGGTGGAAGAATGCCGCTTCTATGAGAGTCTATGGTACGAGATAAATTCTCCGGTGCACGATATACTCTTGAAAACACTAGCTGAACCAGGGGGTGTTCAAGGCCGAAACGAACACAAATGTGAGAACCAAAGATGCACTCGGGGCTATGTGTGTTATTCATTGTCTAGGTTTACACAATGGCTGACGGTTCAAAGCAAAGTGCTACCGATTGCCCAGTAAATTCAAAGGATATACACTAACGTAGGTTCAAAGTTTAACGACTACCTAACCCTATGCAGAGTTCCCATCTTCCCGTGTCAAATTCCAATCCATTTCCTGTCTTTAAGCCATTTTTCCATTCATGTGGGGGGATTGTTGGGAAAATGGTTTTACAAATTAATATTATAGTCATTAATATTATTTGTAAAAACCATTTTGAAATGAATGAGAAATTGTTCCCCGAAAGATAAGCGTGGAATTATATTTAACACGCACACGCTGTCGCTGCCAGTCGGTCAGATCGGGCTCAGGTCTTTGACCAGTCAACAATCGGGCTTAAAATATGAAGACTTATTTTTTGCTACGGGTTTTATTTATTTTTCGAATAAAACCAAATAAAAGACACAACCATTCGTTTTAAAAGAAAGGTCATGAACTTTCTTTTAAAAGGTATCTTTTGGGTTAGAGACTCCTGGCCAGAGCTCTATAAATACCCGCCTTGTCTTTAGTTTTGGATCATCCGAAAATTCACAAACAATTCCTCTATATTTTATCCCGTTGCATCTTTGAGTTCCCAAGATAGTTCACCAGAATCTATCCTGGGAGACGCTTGCTTTGTGTGTCGGGCAAAAACGTCTTAAAGAAACAACATTTACGTTGGGCTCGGTTACAAGTAATCTTACGTTTTCCCTTGATCATTTATTTGTTATTTCATAATTCATACCACATTTTAACATATGTTGGACGGGGGGTCCAAGTGTCCAACTTAAATTTGACTGAATAAATGAGGTGCAAATTCAAGAACATTCATTGGAGAAAAATTATAAATACATAATCTTGGAACAAAAAAAATTGGTAAGTAATTCATATAAATCATACACTCATTTTTTGTTTGGATTAGAGGATTTAGAGTACCATGTGATTTGTTTTCGGGCTTGTGGGCTGTGGCTTACTGGCTACTTTGTTTGGGCAAGATAATAGATAGCGTCTAAATATCAGTGGGATAAAGACCAAAAATGACACTAAAGTTTTTAGCGAATCTCGAATAGGACACTAACGTTTTAGGCAGACCAAATAAACACAAAATTGTAGTTTTTGGGTCCATTTTAACCACCATTTAACTCTTTCCCGTTAACTCCTCCATCCAAAATGGAAACAAACAACTCAAGAACATGTTTGGTTGAAGGAAATGAACTAAGAAAAAATGGACTAAGAAATCAAAATTTTCATTAAATATATAATTAAAGAAAAGAAGATCCCTTATCATCGCATTTCTCAGGCGTGTATAGAGGTATTCCCAAGTTATACTTTATATACCCATCACCCCATTTACATCTCCATAATAACATTAATTTATAACAATATTACATAATACCCAAAAACAATTAATTAAAAAAAGTAGCCGGAGTAATTCTGATCATCAGACAGGCAGAATTCCAGTCGAAAACAGCTGACCAATTTTGTACGG